CCAGGCAGAGCTCAGGACACAAGGACTGGAGCTGGGGCCTGGGAGACGCTGGGGAGGGGGGCAGTGTGTGCGAATACGGGGATAAATAATCCAGTAGCAGGCCTGAGGTGCCTCTGTGAGGGTGCCTGGCACTGCCCATGAGAGACAAAAGGGCTGTACCTGTGGGCGAGGAGGCTGGCGGAGGCAAGCGGGGCCTGCCCGGGGCTAGCGAGGCGCAGGGGGCCGGGCAGGCTGGCCCTCACCTGCACAGGTGCTCGGTACTCAATGCCATCCTTTGCCAAATGTAAATAGAGACCGGCCTGGGCTGCACATGCAGCACCACTGCCTAATAAAGCGGTGCATGGTCACCTCCTGCTCCACGGGGACTGTGCCCGCATCCCACCGCGAGTGGGGCAACTGTGTGGCAAAATGGCAGGGAGGGGCATTTTGTTACACAAAAGCTCTAAGTGAAGTGATTTTTCCTGTGCTTTTGCATGCACTGAGACCCTCTGTGCCTAAGCAATCAGCTGACTCCTCCGAGACACAGGGGACAAGGGTGGTCACGTCCTTGCGATGTCTTTGAGACCCTTCATGGGCAGTGATGAGCCAATTTTGGATATGCCTGTTACTCCCTGTAGAAGGGGGTGCTCTTCAGGATCTTTTGGCTCCTTGTTTTCCTTCACCTGTTGTAAGTCTGAGGCAAAATCCCTGAATTTCACAGATTTCCTGATCTCTTCCTCTGAGTATTTACTGACTCCAGTCCTGTTCTTTGTCTTCCTGACACCTTGTCTTTGGGCCAGCTTGCTCCTTTTTTTTTGGCTGAAGCTCTATCTGGTGTTCTTTACTGTTTCATGCATACCTTGCCTTTTAAACTTTTTCCTGGTGTTGCTTCTGTAATTACAAATAGACATTTCCTCCATCCTTGCTTCAACCTAAGCTTTATCCCACTGCTACTCCCCAGCAGCACATTCCCTTTCCTCTCTGCTCCCTGGGTGGGGATGGCAGCAGCAAATTTGCTGCTGGACCAGCAAAACCTTTTCTGTGAGCAGAGCAAAGTGCTCAGGCATCGGTGGGGTGAGTTAGCAGTGGCCTGATGAAGGCTTTGTGAAAAAGCATCATCCTCCCCTCTGCCTGCTGCCAGGAAGAAGCTGTCCCTGCTGGTTGCTGGGGGGGGACAGAGATGATGGATGGAAGGTCCCACAGGGACCTTGCGAAAGTGGGCGCTGCAGCCGCAGCAGGAATCCTGCTTGACAATCCAGGGCTCTGGGATATTCCAGGCTCAATTTGTAGCTGGAGGATGGCTGTCCTGGCTTGTCCTTCACAGTTTGGAGCTGCTGTGGGGACCATCGGGCATGGCCAGTGTGGTCTGTGAGTGCACCCGCGGTTGAGAGCCTGCAGAGCTGTGGTGGCTTGTTCCAGGATGCCTCAGCCTCTACCACTCCTTAAAAGGCAGTGGATCGAGCTGGTTGGGCTCCTGGTGTCTCCTTACAGCCCACTTGGCTGCTGGCAGCCCTGGCTGCCTCTCTCCATCATCCCAGTGAGGCATTTTGTCCAGCAGGGACAGAGGTGACTCCAGCAGGAGGGTTTTTTCTCCCAGAGCCTGCAGGAAGGGCTGGAGATGCAGAAATCTTCAGAGATGCTCTTGGATGCCCTTGCTGCACTTAAAAGGTTTTGAGTGTCCTTTAGCAGCCCCGCTGTGACGTGATGGCTCCAGCGAGGAGCTCATCCCAGAGGATCCTCTGCCTTCTCTGTGGCTGGGTAAGCAGAGGCTTCTCATGTCTGTGCAGCTGGGCAGTGGAGGCACAGGAGAGCCTCTCCATGTAGAGGGGGGCTTTTTCCTCGAGGAGCTGTGGCAGGGAGCAAACTGCCTGGCAGCCAGTGCTGGCTCTATTAGCGTGCTCACAGCCTTGCAGTACAATCCTGCCCCGGCAGCCTGGCTCCATTCCGGGAGTATCCGTGCCAGGCACAGGAATGAGAGGAGTGAGACTGTGTGCATTGCAGCAGCTCCCCAGAGCAGTCATGGACCCCAGAACTGCTCTGCAAGATGGGCTGTGTGTCCAAGTGCTTCAGCAAAGCAGCTCTTGATCTTCACTGTGGGAATTGCATCCCTCCTCAGCCCTCTCTTCTCCAGGTTACAGAAGTGAAACTCCTGAAGCATTTCCTTGTACAGTATGTTCTCTGGCCTTGACTATCCTCACCAGGACTCTCTCCATGTACTTGGGGTCCAAAACTGGAAAGAGTATCCAGGTGTGGCCTCACCAATGCCAAATAAAGGTAAATAACCCCTTCCTTTGTCCTGGCCACCAAAAATAGATGACTCCAAGTCTGGGTGGTGCATTGCACCCTTGATGATGGGAGCTGAACAGCAGCTCCCCAGAAAATTTGAATTTAATCTCTCTTATAAGGGTATTTTAGTGCTGCCTTTACCATCCTGTGACTGAAGTGAGTGTCGTGTGGGAGCGAGGTGGGTGAGGGCAGCCATCCAACAGGGCTAGAGAGGTGACAGGGATCCCCATTCATGAGGATGCTAATCTCCAACAGGGACAAGGGCCTGAGCAATCTGATGTGGCTTTGAGGTTAACCCTGTTGGGAATGTGAAGATTGACCAAAGGCCTTTGTTTGTAGCAATTCCCAATCCCCTTGTCCCAGCAATGCCCCGTGTCCTCCCAGCTGCCTCTGTTCTCTGTCCCTCCTCCTGGCAAGTGAAACAGCCCTGTCATTCATTGCCTGATCTCTAGTCTCTCACTAAGCTCTCCATAATCAGCGAGCTGGTTTAACATACTACAGGCCCCAGTGATGAAGGAAGGAAGTTTGTTTTCTAATTGGATTAGCACTGCTGGGAACATGCAGTGTCAGGGCTGAGCTGGCTCCTGCTGCTCTGACTGGGTGTGGGCCAGCTTGGAGCTGTGCTTCCCCTTGGACTTCTCTGACCAAAATCATGCTGAGAGGTCTGTATCCTATGAAGACAGGTTGAAAGAGTTGAGGCTGTTCAGCCTGGAGAGGAGAAGGCTCCATAGAGACCTTAGAGCCTCTTCCAGTGCCTAAGGGGGCTCCCAAGAGAGCTGGAGAGCGACTTTGGACAAGGGCCTGGAGGGACAGGACAAGGGGGAATGGCTTCCCACTGCCGGAGGGCAGGGTTAGATGGGATATTGGGAAGTAATTGTTGGCTGTGAGGGTGGTCAGGCCCTGGCCCAGGTTGGCCAGAGAAGCTGTGGCTGTGCATCCCTAGAAGTGTTCAATGCCAGGTTGGATGGGGCTTGGAGCAACCTGGGATAGTGGAAGGTGTCCCTGCCTATGGCAGGGGGGTGGAATGAGATGAGCTTTAAGGTCCCTTCCAACCCAAACTATTCTGTGCTTCTGTGAAAACATACAGTCGTGCAGGATGGAGGCAACCAAGAAGGATAAAGGACTGACTGAGGGCAGAATTGGAGCTTGCCCTGGGCTGTGTTTGCTGAACTCTGTCCCTAATGTCTCCCATCTGCTGGAAATAAAGTGCTCTGGTTAGTGTCAAGCCTGAAATCACCCGTCCCAGTACAAGCCATCAATGCTGCTGAGCACCTCAGAGGCTGGAGAGAATCACCAGCAACTGATCTTTGTGGGACTGGGTTAAACTTTCAGATATGTTTAGGGTGTGCTCTGTCATCCACACCCCATTCCTGCCCCTCTGGCCTGGAGAAGTTCCCTGAAGCCCAAGCCTAGTAATTAGTTCGAAACCCCAGCCCTAGCAGGGATGCTTAAGTTTCTGGAGTATCCCTGAGAACACAGTGCCCTGTGTTCTGCCTCCAACCACAGCAATCTGCAGGAGGGTCAAATAACCCAAGAGCTCAGCTGCCAGAGTTTAGAACAAGGGAGAGAAATTTGTTCCTGATCCCTGCAGGCTGCAGTGGAATGTGCAGGGAAGCACATACATAGCACAGACGGTTCACATGGCACACACATGGCCCAACTGAATATGTCCTTTCAAATCTCCTAAAGACCAACAAGTTTGACCCAAGGGGTAAGTTTCAGCTCCTGACTTGGAAACCACCCTTGCTCAGTCCCTTCAGTACCATTTCCAGCATCCTCTCAAACCACTTACTTGCTCCAGGTGTCCTGTTTGAAAATTGTCCCAAGACATCTGTGCTTGGATGCCTCCACCTAATTTTCAGTCTACACAAGTGAGCAGTTCTCTCTTTTTCCTTGCAAAGTTTTGGAGGCTGTCTCCAAAGCAGCATGCTCAGGCACATAAGACAAGGGGTAATGGTTTTAAACTGAAGGAACATCAATTTTAGATTAGATATAAGAAGTATTTTACAATGAGGGTGGTGAAACCCTGACACAGGTTGCTCAGAGGCAGCATTTGTGGACTCATTCAAGACCAGATTGGACAGAGCTCGGAGCAACCTGATCTAGTTGAACGTGTCCCTGCCCACGGCAAGAGGTTGGACTAGAGGACTTTTAAAGGTCCCTTCAAACCCAAAACTTCTAGGATTCTATGATCTTCCAGGTGAGACTACCCCAGTACCTTGCTACTGATCTGTTTGTGTCCCTCCCCCAAAACATCCCAGGCATGATGATTCCACGCTCCCAACCCTGCACTTCTCGATGTTGCCGTTGGTGGGGTCATCCCACGACTGAGGTGGAGAACAGTGCTGGAACCATTTCTCTGCTCAGAGACACCCCTTTAATACAGCCCATCATTTACTTGGTTAGCTGGTTCCTGCTCTTGCTATATCCACAGCCATGACTTCCAGCATTGGAAAGTGGTTCATATTGGGTGCAAACCTAACCAGGCAAAATCGTCATAAAAGCACAGATTCATAGAATGGTTTGGGTTGGAAGGCACCTCATTCCAACTCCTGTCATAGGCAGAGACACCTTGCACTAGAATGCTCTGCATCCCCTTGTCCAAGTTAATAATCAAAAAAAAAATTCTTACATTATCCTGAGACAATCTGTCTCCATTTGCTTTT